AGTTTAGTAATCCGTGCGCTCAGTTTAGTAATCCGTTCACTCAGTTTAGTAATCCGTGCGCACGGATTTCCAGTGGCTGTTTTTTTTTTCTCCCACTGACCCCCGGCGGGCTCCGTACATTGGTAATGTCTGACTGGACCTCGTGCCACTTTATGTTCAACAAATTGGGCCCCAACGTCAAAAAGGTCAAGAACTCCTGGTCTAATACATCCCATCAAACCCCTTAACCCAACACCTCAGACCCATGTTCTACTTTCACATTTCACATGTACTGTTTTCTATTTAAAGRGTGTAAAAACCCATTTTCATACCTGTGTTCTGTGAGGAAGAGGAGGAGAGGTTCTGCAGCAGTGCAGCTGTGAGTGAGGGCCAGTCCTTCAGTAGAGCTCCCCCACAGTCCCACAGACTGTCCACCAGGTACACAACATGCTCGTGCAGCTAAACATGCACACGCACACACATTAGCATGACTGTGACAATGTAACGAACCAACAACACCATGGAAGGTCGSGGTTAAATGTCCAGTGCATTTTCACCTCAGACTCCTGATAAAACTGCAGCAAAACTTTTAATCTGGCAAATGTTTGACATCTATGTGCCTCCTCTTCACTCGGTTCATCCAGGAGATCTGAAGCGACGGCTGGAGCATTGAGAATCCTGTAAAGGACGAGTTATATCCTCTGTAAAAACAGCAAAGTGTTTTTTTCTTTGCTGATGGATGAAGGCTTTGTACCTCAGAAACAACAGCTCTCCTGCAGTGGCTGCAAGAGGCCGGTGGGACGAGTAAACAAACTGGAGCAGCTGCTTGTAGTCTTTCTCAGTGAGCACATCCTCACACGTTCTGTGGAATGAAGAGATATTTGATGCAAAAAAAAAAAACTGAAGAAATCAAATGGAGAAAATCTGATTAAAAATTTGATGATGTGGGATGAAGGACTTCTAATTCAAACACGACCTCTTGACCCCACAGGTCCTGATTTCTCTTGAACTGAACTCTGTTCTGCAAAAGCTTTCTTAGAGACAAACACTGGCCTAGCTGGTCATTAATTTATCCTTGTCCTGCAGATCAAGCTGACACGACAGTCTCTTTTAATTTCTTGTGATAAATTGTATAAAAAAGAAAAGAATCATTTACATTTCTGGAACAGCATTTTTCCTTTTTAAAATGTATTTTAACGTGTGTTGATCATAAAACTGAGAGCTTGAAAATTGAACTGGGATGTCATTTTTTTTACCATAGTGTTAGAATGTCATCTGGGGAGAAAAATGTGATTTAACTTTTAAAGGGCCAATATTATGTGTTTCTCAGGCATATATTTAAATACTATACCAT